CCACATCCATCCAAACCCATAGATACAATTAAATATTGCATTTATGGGTGCTGGATTTAAAAACTGAGGAATTCATTTGCTGTGGTTAAATTGGGGAAAACCCTTTAATAAAAGCATATTTAACACATGATTTACATCATGATTTCACCAAGTAGCTAGATATAGTGGTGAAAAATATCTGTCACAGCAAGATAACGAAATCCTAATATCTACTCTTCAACAAGTCACTTACAATCTCATCTAGCAGACCATCACCATTATCATCTTTATACATAATTACTGAAAAGGTAAATTTCCATTAGAAAGTCCATCTCTTTTACATAAGAAGAATAGGTTACAGAAGTTTTTGTTCTGAAATTTTTTCCCCAACTGCACCATCATTATTACTAGCAGATAATCACCAAGTACATTTCAGTAGCAACTTCATTAATGGATTTTAATTTCATTTTCTGCTTAAGAGACTCAATAATTTCAAAGAAACAGACACAGAAATGGAAAAGTACCTACAGAGATGACAGGGAACATAGGACAGTACCTAAGATGGATACTACTATTCTTTTCATCATCTTATCCTTCTCTGTTCCTTTCTTAAATGCAGGTACAAAAGCCTCCCACTGTTTGGGAAGTTTTTATTTCGTTAATTTTTAAACAGCTTAAGGAATTAGGACTATGATTTTTCTATAGCTGAACTATCAGCCACTAGTATATGTGGCACAATTCAAAACACCTTATCTGTCCTTCTCTTCTAAACTGACAATCACTTGTTTTTACTCAAACTGTTCTCATTAAGGGAAGCAACAAAAAGTATATCCTTACTTTAGCCTGAGTTAAGGTAAGTTCCCTCAAATACTTGTTTCTTCATATACATTATGCTCCAGCTTTTCCTTACAATCATCTCACGTTATAGCAAGAATAAATTATTCTCTCAATCATCAACACTTGTTCCATTACAAAGAAAAAGAAACAAAACAGAACACCAGCACTAAGAAGCCCAGCAATTTGTCCACAAATCTTGCTTCTAAATCTTGCTTCTAACTAACTTTGAAATCCTATCCTTAGCCAAAAATGGGTTTAATGAAATCTGTCAATATGACAAGTGAAACTAAGATGGTTGGTCAACAGGCTCAGACACAAATGTTTTCCCTTCTCCTAGTTCTGGTTTAAATATACTTCACGGGTGCAGACTTCCATACAGTGTCCTCCTATGGGGCCTCAGCCGTTTCCTAATGAGAACGTCTTCTGATTAGGTACAGCAGTGTCCCACGCAATGCTGCTTTTCTGAGAAGGTAAAAGGCCAGCTAACACAAATGGGTTGGTTGTATGCATATAATGGTACACATATAATGGTACAATGGTATGTGTGTTGTTCAGTAGAAATAGGCGATAATTTAAAAACAAGTCTGGTATTGATCTAACAATTGTTAAGCTTTCATTTTTAAATTTAAATTACCTTTAAGTGCCAAATTTGATAAAGGTGAAATTTACTGAAATACACCACTTTTTTTTTAATTTAAACTTTTAAAAATATCATTCATGTTTTATTTTATTTAGAAAGCAGCACTGCTTCCTTTATTAAATGTCTTAATTAACTCATATCAGGTATGATAAACATCTACTTTTATTCTTTGGAAATGGCTTAGATTCTGTTACTCATCATTAGGACAGCAGAGACCAGGATGATGAATGGCAAATTAAGACTACTTGTCCTGCACCACAAGAAGAGGACACAATAGAAGTGCTGGGATTGCTGGTGTGAAACAGCTGGAAGAGGTCATGGTGGCAAACTTATGAAGTGTAAAGGCTTAACAGAAATCTAAGGTCTTCAAATAAGTCACATGGAAGGTTATTCAATTAGAAAGATATTCTTATGATTTCAAATATCTAATAAACCTATACCTTCCAATCATAAGACATTTTACTGGGAACTCCAGCACTGAAATAGGCAAAGAATGTCCATTACTCCCCAAATACTGCATCAATAAAACTGAAGGAAAACACCATTCTAAAAACCACTGAATACTCACAAGCCGTCACAGTAATTACAGCAGTAACGAAACAGTTATACGGGAAGCTCTATTTCAAAATGGCTTTTTCCAGAAATCTCTAAATTTTAAACAATTGTTTATCTGCAAATTATAACACAATGTTATGATCTAAAGGGGCATTCCTTTTTGGCAACACTAAGGAATATACCTGCCTGAATTCTGTCTTCCTCCCACAAGTTATTCCTAGAGAACAGCTTTTTTTGAGAAGAGTTGGGGGCAAAAAAAGAGAAAGGAAGGGAAATTCTATTTTTCCTACATTTCCCAAAATAGTTCCAAGATGCTTCCCCCCCCAACCTTTCCTTCCCAGCTATAAAAATAATGCCATTACCCATTATAACAACTTACACACGCCTGCATAGCACATTAAATACTCAGTATTTGATTCTGAAAAATTGTTGCAGTGACTACTGGCAAAAGCTAAAAAAAAATAAGCTCTAAAATCAGTCTTCCTAAGAAATCTGCTAGCTTTTCCAACAAGACAAATTTGAACTTTGGCATCTGTTTTTGACATATCTTAATCCTGTGAATATTAGGAATTCTTCTATTACACAAGCAAACGTTGGAACTATTGTGTTTGAAGAGAATTCCAGTTCCTCGGTTTAAACACATTCCATATCCATTTTTAATGTTTGTTGGAATGTAGTGAGAATATGGCTTCACAATGCTCCTCTATTTCTGATTTAATTTCTTTATGGCATGGAAAGGCAGGTTGCCTGAGGATTTTCTTTTTAAATAATCCAGAGTGCCATATCAGAAAGTAAGCAAACAGAAGAAATGTATATGAATTTAAATTAATCCATCTGGGATTGAGCTATCTGGGTCATCTCGGATCTAACAGTTTTCTTCCCTGTATACTATGTACAGTATGGTTCTTGCCTAAAGCTAAGTCTGACTGGCTAAATGTAACCTTCTTCCTGTCATGGCAATGACAGCTGGCTCCTGGCTCTGAACAATTAATCCAAACAATGCACAAAAGCAACATAAGTTTTCTTCCTGTAATGTGAACGCCAGCAGAATACACTGGTTTTAAAAATCGATACCAGGTCTATAAAATTTGGTGAACTACACATCTCAGACTTCACGCACCCATGACAAAAGATTTCTTTCCCACAAAGTTCAATGAACATGTTACATGATCATGCAATTCCAAAAGCCTCAAGCCTACACAGAGAGCATACAAAGTAAGTACAATTAGCTGCTGCACATAGAACGCTGCAAATGCATTGATTCTACTTCATAACTCAAATCCAAATGCTTTGAAATACACAAAAAGCTGTTTATTACAGACACCTTTTTTATCTTAACACATAACAGCTGCTGTTAGGTCCTTCCAAATCTGGTGAAAGAAAATAGTCTCACTGTAGTGACAATGAACTCATCACTGCTTCTTCTTAAAATAATCCATACCAAAGATAACGTGCACATTTCCAGAAAATAAAACCATTCTTCTCCCTCCAACAGCAGTTTTCTGAAACTGAGCCCTTCAGATGAGTTTTTTTTAATCACAATGAAACCATTAGATTCTAACAACCACTGAAGTACGTATGCATTTTAAAAAAAAACTTCCTCTGCTAAAGGCTCATAAAGGTCTAAATAGTCAATATAAGTTGATACATTTTTTGTTTTACCTTAACAATATTTTTTGTCCAACAGATCTCTTAAGTGGAAGACATAACTTCATGACATGCTTACTGTCTCTTAACAGCTAAGTAAGAGGAAACTAATGCCATATTGTTGTTAACATTTTGCTATTTTGACATGAATTCTCCTATCATTCCCACTTACTGGCATGGTTCACAGTGTGATTTTGGTGTGTACAAATAACGTTTTCTGTCTGAGGAAACTAAACCAGAACTTATGCTCCATGTGTACACCAAATGAACTCTACCCTGTAACATGGCATAAGAGTCTAAACCAATGACTTTGCCCCTCAAGACATTTTCACCAATGCTTTCTGGAGGACACAGTCTATGACAGAACCAGACAAAACCTAGTCTGAAGTAAACCCCTCAAATTCACACTGTATAGATGCAGAAGTGTCTGCAACAAGAGCTTTAGTGCACTCATTTGCTTCTGCTGCGTAAATTATTTGCAACAGTAAAATAAGCCTAAGACAGTACTATAGGATTAAACATCAAGGCCCCTGCAGGTGATTCTTCTGTGCTGTTATCCGCCTTTTTAATTATATGAGTGAGTGTTCCTCAAATTGCTTCAATCATGGGATTTCCATTGACTATCATATCAAAGCAGATATAGCGGCCTTTAGTAAGCTTTACTGGCTTACTGAAAAATAAGCCAACAAACCCACTGTTTACAAAGCAGCTCTGCAAACTCAACCTGTGTTTTCTTATCCAGGTAGCACATTTAAGCTATTCAGCAGATTTGTAGCTGTAGAAATCCCACAATTAGAATTTAGTTAACAATTCTCTTGATAAATGAGGCTGATTAAAATCTAGTTCACTCTCCTTTAATTGTGCTGGCTTTACACAGATAAAAAAAATAGTAACACTTTATTAGTTACTGAAAAAACCTTCCCAAGACTGCCTCAACTTACAAGACTGTACGTTAATACAGAGACTTCCCACTTTCACAAACATAAACAACAACATAATTAAATTCAGTTAAACTCTGAGGGTACATTACTTTAAAAGATGCACAATTGTAGAACCTTTGCAATATCAGCTTTCTTGCCAAAAACACTTCAGAAAGTATTCTCTTGTGCACCACAGAGACTTGAACCATGCTTGCTGAAAAGTATTTACAGTAATAACTATCACTCTCCAGGGCCAGGATATTGTTTACTATCTTTCTCAATGAAGAACTGATCAACCATCTTTCCACAGGAATCACTGCAGCGTCATCAGACATTACAACTCCAGAACAATTACTGTGGCAAGATAGGAGTAACTCCTCCCATGAGCAGAGCAGCACACTGCCTTCACACAGTACACGCACCCTCGGGAGGAAAGCGAAGAGACAACAGACCTTCAGTGTTACCTATTTGTCTCTCTAGATCTGCTGCTTCATCTGGTGTTGCACGTGGGAGGACACCAGGATCACTGAAACTAGTACGCAGCAGGGTCCCCATCACGAAAAAGAAAAGAATCCCACCAATTGCAGGTATAGCAGGTGTAATCTTCTCTGACAAATACGGACAACTGGAAAAAGAAGAGACATTAAACATAATCAGTAACACATAGCAACTTGCTCTCAAAAACTGTTTACCATTGTAAATGCATATGAAGAATTCACTTTCTTCTATTGATACATTACTTGTCTTTGAGTGTTTATTGAAGCTGAAATTTCTGTTTATGTGTTCATGACACTTCTGAAATTTCTTATAATCTGTTTAATACAATAACAGTCCAAATAGCATAGTGACGACCTCACTAATATGCAATACTCATTTTAAAAGAAAATATTTTTATTACAGGATATTATAAGCTCATATGTTTGTTCATCATTATATAAAGTAAATTGGGGGGCAGGGAGAAAGGGGAAATAACCTGAAGATATTCAGCAATAAAAAGCAAAGCACATAACATGATGAAGTAAGCCACACTGAAAAATTTAATTAAGTCTATAAAATGAATTTATCATTTGTCACAAAGATGGTGCTGAACTTACAACTGTGACACATGCCTCTAATAGCCTTGGTATACATCAATATTATAACACTACTACTGATTCTCTTTCTTAATCCATTTCTTGTACCTTGGTAAACTTGTTTACAAAGTAAGACCAGTGGAAATGACAGTGCAATATGCCTGGAAACAAATAATCCAGAGGGGTCTAGGGCAACATCAACAGCCCTTTACTAGGCTCTACAGTTAGCAGATTTACAATATACATGCAGGGCTTAAGACTGGATCACAGTTTTAGCAAGTTTTCCTCTATGCTTCACAGGTAATAAAATCAAAATGGACAGAAGCATTGGAATCTAAACAGTTGTGCAAGAAGAGGTGATGTGAACACTTAGACATTACATAGTATACCACTCCCATTAATCTGAGTCATACAGTAAGCACTGCAATATCGTCTTAGAAAACACACAGGCTGAAGACTCTCCTCCTAGCTCTTACATTAAGTAGAGGCGGGCAAAACACAGAGACGGCTTCATGCATTTCTGATGTCTGCATTAGAAGTCATAAAATAAGCCTAAAACCAACATGCCAAAACCAAGTTCTAGGCCTTAGGGCTTCATCTAAAGCTTCCAGGTATCAATCAAGTTTAATTAACATCATCTTCCCTGTTTCTGCTGGCTGCCTTTAATGATTCAGACGCACGAGCTTTTGCAAGTCAGTTAACCTCACTGGAATGCTAACTCTGAGCAAGTGATGACAACGTCAGCTTCACTGTCCATCACTTCTGCCAATGGGACGGGGGGAGAATGGAAACACTTTTCATACCAGCTACCATGTACCAAGCATTTATCTCCCTGCATAATCCTGTTAAGTGTACTTGGCCATTTCATTGAATGTCGTGGGTTTCACAGATGCAGGAAGTCCAAACGCATTACATGGTGCATCACACCATCACTATGAGTGGAATTCATCTTTTGCCCTACATGAATGTAATATTACAGGTATAAGAAGTTACAAAAAAATAAAGAGACATCTGTGTATAAAAAAAGGTGAGGGGCAAGAGATACTGTGGTTTGATATAATGAATAGACTGTTTAAATACTAGGAAACGTACTTCAAATGCACACTTCCAGGAAATCTGTGTCAAAGACAGATTTATGAAATCTGGGCTAACTAAAGGAAGCAGCAGCAAGACAGCTGGTAGATATAAGCCTTGCTCCCTTCATGTCAGAGAAGTTAGCCAGAACGAACAACAAAAGAGAAGCTTTCATACCACATAAATGTCCTACTGCTCAATTTATTTCTTGCCACAAAGGATTACTGAAATCAAAACTGCTGTAATATGCTCAGACAAGAGTACAAATAGGCTGCAAGAATGTATTTTTAAAAGGATTAGAGGGAACATGTACATTAATGAATACTAAACATAGCACAGTGCTATTATTCTCTTATTGCATTATTCATTACACATACCAAAGAAATTGCAACTGTGATGAAGTCTGTTGACCAAACAAGAGCTGTGTGTGTGTGTGAAAGGTGCCATGAGATAACCTCACAGCAGCACAGTAGGTGCAACACAATTAGACAGATGCCAATGCAAAAACCAGTAATGGTGTCTATCTACACAACTTAAATCTGGAATTCTCAGCGATACTCAGAGAATGGAAGCTGAAGAGCTGTCATGACAGTGACATGTTTTGTTTTAACAATAATTTCATAGGGAATTGGTAGAAAGAACAAATTCCCATGCGGAAATACTGAGAAAGCCTTGCATTGCCAAAAAGCAGTAACTTCATTATAGTAAAAAAGCACAAAAATGGCCATCTCTGCCTCACTGAACCGAGTCCATCTGCAGTGGAAAAAAACCCACTCTCAAAGCCCTGCACACTTTTCACCACCGGGCAAGTGTAAGGTAACCTGCTTCGCCTTAAGGTGTTTTCAGGATGTAACACCCTGTATTTTATCAACTTTGACTTGTAATTACTTCACTAATAATGTAGAAAAGACCAAAGATGTCATCTTTGGCAATAATTACCAACTAATGCTCTGCCAATTCAGAAATTGTTTCAAACTGAGAAACCAGTCCTTACAGAGACTCAGACAGTAAGTCTAGGCAGGACCATTCAAATCCAGCCTGACTTGTGTTCCAACAAAGCATATAATATTGCATGGGCCTGCAGAGCTCAGTGATATCTATCCTTTAGAAAGGCCCAATCAGTTTTTCAAGTTTCTGTCAATTACATTTAAAAAACCCAGATACTGTACAGACCTTTTTTTTTTCCTTCATGTCTGTATAAAAAAAAAAAAAAAGAGGGGAAAAAAAAATCTTAGTATCTCCTGGGTTATTAAAAAAATCTACTAAAAGTGGCTTCAAATTAAAAATGTGGATTTTAGCTCAAAATTGTCAATACATCTATAGAAACACACTTGCACATTTATATAATTTATATTTGCATGCTTATATAGCAGTACAAACACATTTAAGTCTATTTTTTTAAAACAATTTGTTTTAGTGTTACTACTTTAGAATTGTCAAGTACTGTATACAGAAAAAGATTATTCCTAATATTTGCTCAAATTCCTTGATTAATTTGCTTCAACTGAGTTTGCATATATTTAGGCATCAGCTTTCCTCAGATATTACAAGAAGTACCTTTTCTGGATGGTATTTTCAGTGAGATTTTAAAGTAGCAGGTATTTTCTGATAGCAAACTTCAGAACTTCCAGGCAGAGGGCCTCCCCACACAGAGGTCTGTCCGTCTGCAGCACCCCTCACGATAATGCTGCACAGAGCTCCAGAACAAATCTCTGTCTTGTACATATCTGCAGAGCAAGTAGTGACAAACCTTGCAGCACTTGGTAACTACTAGACGTGAACTGACATCCTCAGTTTACATCTTAGGCACAGGAAAGTAATTGTCCTTAACTGGTATCTGCAATGATAGCACAGAACAAGCACTGACTGAGTCCATCCCAGAAAGCACTTTTTTAGGAAGTATTACTTGACCATAGATCCCCACTAGAAATTTTTCTTGTGGAAATAGCTTCTTCAGAGAAGAATGTTTGGATTTGCACATAGAAACCAGTAACACAACCTGAAGTTTTGATTTAATTGAGGGACTTTATACAAATCAGCCCTGCTTTTTGCTTAGCTTCTCAGCTGCTTTTTTGAAGCACCGTGTGCAAGTTTGCATGCATGTAGGAGGGAAATAAAACCTACTGGAAGACTAGTCTGTCACAGCTAGATAAAAATAAAAACACACTGGCATTTGCGAGATAATTATCAAGCATCATCCCTGTGAACAAATGATGCAGGAGAAAAACAAAAGTAATTCTTACCACCCAGCAGCCCTCTTAACTGTGTAACCATGCTCCCTGTGGCTACTGAGATCAGCAGAAAAACACACGTAGTAACTGTACTGAAGAGTGCACACAGTGAGAGCCCTACAACTTTCAAGCTCTTTCATTAGAAGGGGGTG